AAAGGTCTTCTCTTTTGTAGGTTATCTAGAGTGTTTACTTTCCCATGGAATACTTCCCAACAAAACGCCATAAGTTTTGAGGGAATTGGCCTGCACCAAATTTCTTTTGATGGAAAGGGTTGGTGAGTAGAAAGTTGAGAGATGGACTTGCAGAAAGAAGTACAAGTGAAGGTTCCATTGGGTCTAGGAGTCCATACCCTCTTATTTGGCTTGGAGGGATCCAAACAAAACTGATTAAGACAACCAAGCAAGACAGAAAGAGATTCAATTTCGTCATCCCTAAGTCCTCTACGAAATCCAAAATCCCAAGTAGGATCTAAGGGTGTTCCCAAAGGTGAGACAAATTTTGAGATCACCTCTTTTTTGTACAAAGAAACTGAAGGTAGCAAAGGGAACAAATCCTTTATAGCCCCTTGATTGCATATAGTTCCTCCCACATCTCATTACTCTCTCTATAGGAATTAGGGCCATAAACATTGGTTAAGACCCATACACACCCATCCTCTACATTCTTACACTTAATGGAAACTGAGAATCTGCCTATCAATTCTTCCACTACTTCCACCACATCCTCCCTCCACAGTGTTGCGATCCCCCCCGAGGCTCCCCAAGAAGGAGACGAACTCCAACCTAAACCTCTAGACCTTCAAAAACTCCTCACCCATCTCCTATCTAATTCCATCATTTTGGATTCTTGTAACAACACAATATCAAGTTTTTCCCTTCGGAGTAGGTCTTTGATCACCCTTCTCTTTCTTGCACTCCCTAACCCTCTTACATTCCAGATAATAATTGTAATCGAGACAAAATAGCAAAAACACCCATGAGAAGGCCATAATCTCCTCATTTTAGGCCCTTCCTCCTATCCCCTCTACCACTAAATTCTAAATCYCCCTCAATGTCTGAGATTAGCCTTTCCACTTCAGATCTTTTTTTCTTCTTTGTTCCTTTCCCCCCCTCCTAATACAACAATCATCCTCTTTCTTTTCTCCATCCTTTCCAGCTAATGTCTGAAGAAGAATTTTACCCTGCTCACACTTAATTTGGCTACAACATCTCTCTAAGAATCCTTCCTTTTTTTTAGTTCCTCCATCATTGTACGGATCAACTTCCAAATTTTATCCACCTCCCCCTTACTACTTCCWTCCATCACCCTCTCTCCTCCTTCCACTATCACCCTCTCTCTTGCATCAGAACCTCCTGGATGGGAAGTTGGAATATCTGTTACAGGCATAGCACACAAGTCAGTACCTAAAAAAGAATTGACACCCATACCTGGTAGGACGGGGGTAGAACTAGAATCACTGGAATTGAGTTGCTGACAGGTGAAAATGGTTTTAAGGTCTTTCCCCTTTTTGGACAAAGTTGTGAAGTAGACATAGTGAAAGAATCACTTCTTGACAACCTACCCACTTGGAAATCCTTTCTCTTTGTTTTTGACACTGGAATACCCACATCCATCCTCACGGCCGATTCTTGTCCCTCTCCACCAACATCCTGTAATTCATTAGACTTAGGGTCAGCTCCCTCGACGAAGGGAAGAGGAGTTTTCACAGCTTTAGGAGCATTTTCTTCGCCATTCCTAGTCTTCCCGCCACCTGCCTCTTCAATCTCTTCCTCTAAAAACAACAACTCTGCATGCAAAATTTCTATTTCAAGTAAATCATTGTTGCTTTTCAGAGACAGACTTCCCAGACTTGCAGTTTCATCTCTATCAGAATCGTCACTGCTGTTTTGTTCACTCAACCAATCTTCAAACCCTGTTCTGTTCAAATCACTAGGCTTCAGGTATCTCGGGTTGCGCCTATCTGGTAAGAGACGGTTCGCCAGGTTGGATGGGACCCACTGTAGAGAGCCTCGAGACTGAGAGTCTTGAGATTTTGTGCTTGAACTATTCGACCGAAAGGAGGGATTCGAGGTAGAAGAAGATAGACGTTTAATCTCGTCTATTAGCTCATCCCTCCTCCCAGTCACATGCTTACTTAAAGGGTCCCTTGGCCCATCTGTCTTGTAATGGGCCTTGCGCTCAAAACTTGTAACATAAGAATCCAGCTTTAAAACCTTTACTTGAGTTGCCTTCTCTGGCCCACCAGAAAAGGGATCCACTCGACTGGGCCCATTTTCTAAGTCTTTTCCTCCCATGTGACCTCTTAACAAGTCACACCCCTCTGTTTTAATGGTCGAACCAGCAACCCTCCCTTTTGTATCCGTCTGAGGTTGCTGGTTCAGCCCTCTCCCTTTAAACACTGGTATGTTTTTGTCTTTTTCCCTTGACACCACCTACGCAAAAGATCTGCCATTTGTCATAGCCTTTTCTTGCTTTCTATAGGTTTGACCTTCCATCTGCCCCAATGCTTTTTGGCTTCCCAGAATTTGTTGGCCCTGTTTAGTGAAACATTCCTTCCCATTTGAATTAACCAATCTCACAAGTCCACGTAATGCTTCTTCTTCCTCCTTCTCCCCTCCTACCATACGAGCCTCCTTCCACAGCCCTGCTTCAATGGAGGATGCTAGCCACACAGAGACAAAACTCCCCTCTGTTCGTA